AATAAACCGAATAATATTGCCTTATTTATATAAATATAATAGTACTGTCTGTTGTATGTCCATGTAACTACTTCTGTAAAAATATAATAGTACTGTCTGTTGTATGTCCATGTAACTACATCTGTAAAAATATAATAGTACTGTCTGTTGTATGACCATGTAACTACTTCTATATAAATATAATAGTACTGTCTGTTGTATGACCATGTAACTATTTCTATATAAATATAATAGTACCGTCTGTTGTATGTTCACGTAACTACTTCTGTATAAATATAACAGTACTGTCTGTTGTATGTCCATGTAACTACTTCTATATAAATATAACAGTACTGTCTGTTGTATGTAACTACTTCTATATAAATATAACAGTACTGTCTGTTGTATGTAACTACTTCTATATAAATATAACAGTACTGCCTGTAGTATGTTCACGTAACTACTTCGCAGGGTGTGGATGGATCTTCACGAAAATTGATAAGGAGGTTCATTAGGTCTATGCGGGGGGTACATACAAATTTTCAGTTATCCATTTTGCAGTTTGTATGGTCTTTTTTTTGCGTTTTTTTACCACTACTTCGCCCCCTGTTGCTGGATCTTCACCAAATTTGGCATGAAGGTTTGTTGGGTCCATGTGGAGATACATGCAAACTTGCGGTTTACATCTTGTGTTTTACAGTTTTTAATGAGCGTTTTTTTACAATTACATATAAGGGAAGCAACTTTTAATGTCCTAAGATAACCTTTCAGTAATCACGAATTTACATAACTTCCGTCCAAGGGGCGGCGGGTACCCCAGCTAGTTTTATATACTTTAAACAACTTAATTAAACGACAAACAACAATAACGAAATCTCAGTCTGAAACAACTTGAGCTTGGGCCTAAATAGTAATAGACCAGAAATGACGTATCAGTTGTACTAAAGTCTCGTATGACATTGTATCCTGATATTGTCGTTTCTTATTTATAAAAAAAATACTTTTCAATTTTCTCCAACGCTCCTAGAAGTGTCTTACTAATATCTATACGAAAACAGGGAAATAAAACAGGACTGTTGAAGTTTCTGTCCTCATCATGTTCGCGGTTTTCTTGGTTCTTATTAAGTCCTTAAACAGCAGTAAACACCGACAGCCTCTCTCTTAGACCAATACAGTCCGTTGTTATAGAACCTTTTCAGTTTGTGGATCAGATACTCTTAACTCTTTTAGGTGAATTTTTTTGCAGTCTAAACAGTAAGTTGAAAATAGAAACTATAACTATAGCAACTCAATGTCTGTTGGGTTTGAAATATACTCCATATTATAGGGTTCGGTTTAACCTCTGAAAGAAATACATTAGTACCCCCCCCCCCCAAAAAAAAAGAAACAATACTTGGTATTTACGCTAGAATTCCAAAACAGTATTAAAATGTTTGATATGATAAAAAGAAAACAAATGTCACAAACGACTCTCGTTGGATTATTATTATTGTTGTTGTTTTTTTCATAGCGTTCTGTATCTTCTCTCTACTTCCACTATTAAGTGGAAATTCTTAAATTGCAAATAATAATTTAAGATAATAAAAAATAATCTTAAATATTTAAAAGAAATAAACTATTCATTACCAGATCCAGATTTGTTTGAAGAAGTGTTAAATAGAACTCACCTTGGAATGGATACCCGGTGAAAATTGGACGAATGTTTAATGCACTGGAAACCGCCATCTTGCAATATCTACGAAAGCAAAATTAAAATGTCTCTAATAGATGCGTCTGCTTGCTCAGTAAAACCTTTTTTTTTTTTTGGAACTGTTTGTAATTATCAGATATTATTAAGATATTGATATTTAAGAGGATAATTAAGATATGTTTCGGTTATAGTCACAAGACTTCAGGGTCCGAGGTTGTTTATATAATCAAGTTTCCAATTCGTTCAGACGGATGAGGACCTTTTCAAGTTTTCAGAACATCAGTGAATTAAACGTCTACCAAGTGTATGTGTTGTTCTATAACGTGGAAAAGAACGCAAGGTTAACGCAGAAGAAACGCAAGGTTAACGCAGAAGAACACCGTTCGTGCAGTATCTCTAGAGAAAAAACTGACGGTGACCAGGACTATTAAACTGTATAATGGAAGAGAACAAGTTCAAACCTCGAATCTGCAGAAAGTAATTCTGACTTATGACGTCCTCAATTGAGACGGTGACTTTTCAAAGTGGCCAGGAAATGATCGGCCCATCATCCTCTGGATGGAACAGTAGCCCCCCTGGAGCTCACTGTCCTGATTTGTCTCAGATAGCACGCTGGAGCCCGCCCATTGGTTGATCATGCTTCCTAAGGTGCGAGGTGGGCTGGACTATTAGCGTCCCGCCGCCTCACAAGGTATCCTGCCGTTCAAGCCTGTACGATTCATAATGACTCTTAATGTTCTTTTTTTTTTTTCAGCCTGAGGCAGGAAGTTTCTACCACCGCCAAACGAAACGTCTTTTGCTTTTAATCTTTGTTTGTTTCATCGTGTCACGTGGACTTATAATGGTCCATGTCATTTTGTGATAATCATTTATCAAAATATTTTCTTGGAATCTATTGCTGCTGCATCTATGTAAACCCTAATTAGGCCTAGCAAAGCGTGGGATTGTTATTCTTGTAAAGAAATCCGTGAAATGACTGCCACGAACTGTATTGAATTTTCCAGAAAATGAAGCAAACAAGGAAACAGCAACTATTTACAGTTAAGAGCCATTTTCTTTATTTATTGGTTTAAAATGTGGGGCCCCAGAAGATCTTATCACTATCCTAACTAGGCTAAGGAAGACGTCAAGGCTGTAATGTATGTTGTTGCCTTTCAAGTAACTTATAACCTATTAAGAGTAAATGGAGGTTGTGCCGTTTTACCATACACGATCGTAAGTCATGATTTCGTAGCAATTACAGGACGTACAACAATGTTCCTAATGTTGCCCTGTGTGATAATGCGACTCGTTTTCAAAACTGATGACTTTTAGGAAGTATTTGTGTATTTACGAAAAATAAGAAATAAAACGCAAGCAGTACATAGTTTTACATTTAGTGTTTGATACCAAAATATTAACACATACGATACTCATATGAACACGACAGATTACAATTGGAGTAATATAACAAGGTATACTTGCTATTCTTATAGCCCCCCAGTGGCCCAGCGGTAAGCTTAAAGATTTCTAATGCTAAAAATTGCGATTCAATACCTGCGATGGATACAGATAATATAGCTCACTGCATAGTTTTGCAGTTGAAAACGGTCAAATAAAACAAGCTGTCCTTATAGACACAGTAACTAATATAACAAGATATCCTTATAGACACGATAGCTAATATAACAAGATGTCCCTATAGACACAGTAGCTAATATAATAAGCTGTCCTTATAGACACAGTAGCTAATAAAACAAGCTTTCTTTATAGACACAGTAGTTAATATAACAAGCTTTCTTTATAGACAGAGTAACTAATATAACAAGCTTTCTTTATAGACAGAGTAACTAATATAACAAGCTTTCTTTATAGACACAGTAGCTAATATAACAAGCCGTCCTTATAGACAGAGTAACTAATATAACAAGCTTTCTTTATAGACAGAGTAACTTATAATGTGACAAACTAATTGGCAGATTGATTAATCTTTTTAAAACTGTTTTAAAGTTTAAGATTTAAAAAGTTCTCTGATCACTGTCTCATTTCCTAGTGGGAAATACTGTATTTCTGGGGGAATTTTCTGCACAAGGCGAAATCCTCCCGGTGCTTACTTTATCACTCAAAATGTTTAATTTATCGTTAATAAGACTTAGTTACCCCCAAGTATTATGAAATAATTTCACTGCCTGAAATAAATAAATCGGTGAATCGGAATCTTTCGGTAAAAACGTTCATTATTTTTGTTTATTTCCATTTATATAATTATGGCATTCTTTCTCCGATAGGTGGCTGAGTGATTATCAAAACTTACAAGTTGTTGGTGCTATGGTTTTATCTCAGAAGCATTTAAAAAGTCACGAGAAAAAAATTCACATTTTAGGTGATACCGATATTCTGTATCGGGAATTTAAGCCTAAACTTTATCAGTGTAAAGTTTCACATTGTAGGTGATACCGATATTCTGTATCGCGAATTTAAGCCTAAACTTTATCGGTGTAAAGTTTCACATTGTAGGTGATACCGATATTCTGTATCGCGAATTTAAGCCTAAACTTTATCGGTGTA